TCGTCATCGCTAAATTCGACGCTCCATACAAGTACTGTAAATTTTCTTCTTTTCCAACCATCAGTTTTTCGTTCAGTCTGTTACTTTAATAGTACCAATCCCAGATCGGGGTTTGTTTCTTGATCTGTTGCCAACGTACACCATCTCCTTATGTTCAATTTTTGCTGCATTGTGGTAGTTTCCTATGTCTGCGAAATTTCTTTACACTAAACCAGTGGTCGCTGTATTCATTTGTTACTTTCAACAATTGTTACTTTTTACTATGTGCGTCACTGATTAAAAAATATTTGCAATTTTGTTTGGTTTAAATCAGTTGCAAGAGTTATTACAAAACTTCCTTCCTTTTCTCCCTTTTTTCTTGGGAACTTCGTTATGTTCAGAGTTTGGATAGGTGTGCGGAATACCTGATATACTGCCAACAGTTTTAAGAAAGTTGGGTATTGTGCGTTTGTAAATGGAGATATGTGTAAATTAACGGAGTTAGAATGATGCATCTTTTATACTTACATGTTTTTTTCATAAATCTCTTTGCACGTTGAAGCTGTTACTGGAGAAATTAGAAGACAGTATTAGCCATATCGAGATAACCTACGGGGGACTACAAAATTCTGGTAAAGGCTGTTAATTAACACCAATATTAACACCTCGCGCAGTAAAATTGTACTTCATGGTTTTATTTCATTCTTCATTCTACGAAACTTTTCGAGACTTACTTTTGTAGTATCTTTCTGTTCATTCTTCAGCTTGTAGTCCAGCAAGAAACTGTTTTTATCTGTCTCTAAATGGAGGATATTTTTTATAAGCAATAATCTTACTTAGATTAGGAGAAGTTTGTAGCAGTTCGATTATCTGATCCAGCTTTTCATCGAGTTTCTTGATAGCGTCGTTAGTTCCAACGTCCGTTCCAATGTACTGATTGCACACAACCGTTTGACCGTCTGTTTGGGCGTGAACGTTATTCGTGCAGTTTGTAATTTTAGCACCGTTTGCTTGGTCTGCCACGAGAAACAGGAACAACGCCGCAAAAAGCAACTTTTCGCAACCTGCAACAACCTGATTTGTTACAACACTGGTTTGACTCGCGTGTGGTAATACGTGCAAGATCGCTTTTTAACTCGGTTTCAGTGCAGCAGTGGTGCAAATAAACAAGTTGCTCGTTTAGCTGCCCGTTTTTACCGTAGCTTTACGGTCGCTTGATTTATTTTTTTATTTTAGCCTCGTACCTTTCTGTTTTTGGTGGCAATATTTGTTTTCTTTGTTTAGTCATACAGATTAGTTGCATACTCGAAACATCTCTACTTTTTTCAATTACTTTGTAAAACGTAGAATGCCTTGACTTGAAATCAAATACCTTGTATGAATTTTTGTGTGATTTTATTTTACTATATGTATATACTACTATATGTATGTTAATACTTGTCGCAATAAAAAAGTTATTAAAATAAAAAAAATTAAAAAAAAAAAAGAAAAAAAAGAAAGCTTTACGGTTCGAACGAACAAGAAAACGTCGAAAAACGGAACAGTTACGGAACAGTTAAGGTAATCAGGCGTATCAGTACAGTTTCCAACGCTGCTTTGTAAGACTCCTGGAGGCGTTATGGAGAAAGACGTTAACAAGGAGGTCAAGCATTCCGCAAAGATTTGAAAAAGGTGTTCGTCTGGTTACAATTCCTCTGTGCAATGAGTGTGGGGAATTTATACCATAGCAGACAAAGGCTATAACTGTGAAATTACGTTTTCTTTTGTATTGTAAGTCTAAGCCAAGAAATCTTGATTTATAAACTCTATGATATGGTCAACGAAATTCATGTGTACTATCCCGAACGGTTAGTTACCTAAAAAGTCTGAAAATGACATTTTCCAGCTGGGCTATTAAGTAGATAGATACAATTGTCATGACCTGTCAAATATGTTAGCATTGTCACTAAAGAAATCCAATGTACTGCCGAGTAAATCCTGATAAAAATAAGAAGTTGTGGTAAAATAATTGTTGTTTACAGAGCCATCAGTTGTTTATGACAGTCCCATCATTGTGGACTTGATTAACAATAGGCCATTTGCTTGACGTCATATGACGTCAGCAACCAGAATCCCTCAGTTTTGTTTTACAATTTAGGCTATTTTATTAAAAATTCATTGAGTTACTAATCCAAATATGAAGATTAATAACAAAATGAGTTGTGGTTCCTGTGTACCTATTTCCGGCCACGAAATAAAATGGCCGAATTTACACTGGAGACGAATTTTCTAAATGGCTGAACGTATACTGGAGATGAATAGAGTATACTGGAGATGAATAGAGTACCGAAGTGATGACGTCATAAAAATGAAATTTGTGAAATTATGTGATTTGTTAAGATATTCTGAAAGAACAACGTCCAAGACGCCTACTCGCCAAAAATTAGCAATTCGGGGCAATTGTCTCTGAGATATTAGCCCAGTTATGCTGTGACGATTCCATACAAATCCTTCTAAATTTGGCTTGGTTCATAAGATTAGAACCAGGTAAGATTTAGAAGGATTTGTATGGAGTCATCGGAGCATAACTGGGCTAATATCTCAGAGACAATCTGCCCTAAGTTGCTAATTTTTGGCGAGTAGGCGTCTTGGACGTTGTTCTTTCAGAATATCTTAACAAATCCCATAATTTCACAAATTTCATTTTCTGTGACGTCACACTTCGGTACTTTATTTTTCGTCTGACAAGAGATTCGTTTAAGTATAAATTCGTAAGACGAATTTAGACGAATTTTAGAGGACATTTATCCTAAAAGCCTGGGCATGAATGATAAACAAAAAGCCTGCCTTCATAGCTCTTTTTATCAACAGCTAAGATCGAGAAAAATGGCAGTATTTCAGTGTAATAGTGTGTTAACAGCGTTTCTTAACAGTCTTTACTTGACCTTTTTTTTAACATTGTTCAGTGAAAACGCAATAGTTTAAAAACTATACTAGAAGTTCAATAATCACACATTTGTCCAATGGCATTTCACACAGCTAGCTTTGTTTCAAGCCGGGAGTGATTGTTTTTCCTCTCCTTTTAGCTGTTTCGTTGACATTATATCCCATGAAACCTTGCGAATGAATAGATACGGCGGCGAACTCAAGTCAAAACTAAGCAGAAATCCGTCTTCGTTTTCCGTCTAGATATAAATTTAAAGACAGATTATCAACCTCAGACGCCTGACAAACGAATCAAGCGAAGACGAATTTTGGCCCAAAATACATCAAAACACCGGATTTATATCTAGACGAATTATTCGTCCGAGAAGTATATCTTGTCTTAGGCGGATAATTAGCCTGTAGTATAAATTTGGCCAATGTTTATAGGAATGTTTATAGAGTTTACAGTACTCAGTTTAGGGAATTTTAGGGTTGTAAACCTAAAACGTCTTAATTTGTTGTGTTCCGTTTTATATTTGGCCCTAGTTTCTTGTTTGTTGTGGTTTTTATTGTTCTTTATGTATGAAGTATGGTTAACTCTAACGTTACGAAAACGCATTTTCCGCTGCTGGGCCAAATTTTAACTTTGTTCTTTAGAACTCGTCTTTTGTTCTTTTCTTTTTAATTATTTTACGAATTAAGCAAAATTTCAAGGTTGACGAAAATCAACTTTCTCGCCTTTTACTAGCCTGAGTTTCAGCCGTCAACAAACTCCCGGGAGAGATGTTTGCGACTCGAGGAGACGTCTGAAATTCAAGTTAGTTTTTTTTACATGGCGCGAGCAGGTTTCATAACACTTCATTCCGCGCTTGTTATCCGGATATAGTTTTTGACCTGAGACGATACTAATGTAATGAAAATGATACAGAGAACTACATTCAGTCATCTAAGAAGCAGAGTTTTTGGCCTTTTAATGCAAAATTTTATTTCACCTTATTTTTACAAATTCCTTATTTAACCGCTTTTTTTAAATAATTAACAGTTTCTTAGCTGCATTTTAAGGCCGCTTGTAGGCTGTTTCTGCGTATTACAGCTATTATTGGACCAAAATATATCCCATCGCTTTGATGTGCTGGTCGCCATTATCTGCTCTGTGCTTAATGACAGCTTCGTTGCCACACGTGTTGGAGTCATCAGGGTACCCTGCAGTGCCAAACCCGATTCTGGAGTCTGGTTGGACACAGTTATTATTTTCGTTACCAAGGATACCAATCCTCGCTTTACTGCATTGGAGACCGGGTTGACAGTCTTTGTTAGTGGTATCAATTGCGTTAAATCCTTCCTTGTTACAGTTGACTTGCAAAGAGGCCCGAGACCCAATAAGCTTTTTCCACGTGTTACGGCCTAGTGAAGTAGCTCGGTATTTGCCATCTGCGATCAGTGAATACAGGGATCTGGCTTGATGGTTGATGACAACAGACTTGAACTGCTGACCGATCTTCATTCCAAGACAGATCTTGTCAAACGGTGTGTTCCAATAAGTCGGTAACTTGGTCCCGTGAGTGTCCAACCCAGTCTTCCCTCCTGGAAGATTGAAGTCGACTTTGTTGCTCCACAGTGTAGAATTGTAGTGAAATGTTTTCTGGAAAAAAAATCAGTTGACTCATTCATATAGAGTATTGTCTCGCTCGCGAGGGAATAAACATATACTATCACTTTGCTGTTTTATCTGTTTGAGAAATATGATACAGTCGCCTTGGTGTTCACTGGTCTTGTTGCAAAGTCCACACATATTATTCTCTTCAAACGTTATCTGTTACTACTTACAGTGAATTGAGTTACAACTTTTTAAACCTACACGTAATAGATACCCTTTCTTCCATTTGACGTGGACTCGTGACTTACATTGTCAGTTTACCTTTATATTGTGAATTAGGTGATGACAAACGTTGAAACTTGTGAGAACATTTAACTTTTAATACCTTTGTGCCATCGATCTTCATGACCAGCGTCCATCCACCTCCTCCGCATGCATCAAGCCCATGCTTGGTCATGTGACAGTATACAGGAATTTTTGCAGATCCTCGTTCCATTTGAATTCTCCCGGTAATTTCCGGGTTTTTCCATACAAATGGTAAGCGCTCAGGGTTTCTTTTCTTTGTTATCCTGGAGCCGTGGACGTCGATAAAAATATACCAACAAATGTGATGCACGTGCAGAGCAATTTTTTTTTTGCTCATAAAACCAATTAGTTTTGACGTTCTCTTTGCCTTAGTCGTCATGGTTGCTTTTGCCCGCTATTTCCTTGCACTTATTGCTAAATTGACTAGTAGAACATAGAAAATGTAAACTTTCGTAGATGAAGTCATGGAAATTAGAAGTTATAATTTAATGGATCTTACCTGGAAAAGCAGGGGGCTGTAGCAGTTTAATTAGCTGGTCTAACTTTTCATCAAGTTTCTTGATAGCTTCGCTAGTTTCAACTCCCTGTCCAATATACTGGTTGCATACAATTGTTTCACCATTTCTGTTGGTGCGAACTGGAGTCGAGGTGTTTGTAATTTTTGGCGCCATTAGCCACGTGCACCATCAGAGCCACAGAGAAAGCTGGGCTGAGCCAAAATCGCATTGTAAGAACCAACTTTGTTATGTGCAGTAAAACAGTAATCCGTAATGTTGTCTTCAGCAGAATAATACGTGCTGAATAACCTTGTGTGCTTTTATGTGACGTGTTGGAACTGAGACGGAAATTGCAATGTGCTGTATAAACATGCGGATGTGATATCCGGCTTGTTCATTTGAGACTCATTTGAGCCTGGGCGAAGGCTGCCGCTTTAGGGGTGTTTGGGGAGGGGAGGGGAGGGGGCACTAAAAATCGCGAAAGGGAAAAGGGAGAGTTACTTTTCTTCGTCCATTCAACCGACCCCTCACTTCTCCTGTACCTGTCAGTCATGAGTCCTATCCCTGAGGCCAGAAGTATCCGCACTGTTTGAATTTTTATTTCCTTTTTTAAACGAATTCAACTTTAGTGACTCGCAATTGTATTGTAATTACGGCTGCTAAAATCCTAAGTTTTCCATTTCAGTCAAGAATTAACGTGAGATCAGTTCCTGCTTTCAGACACATCGTGTTTACTTTGATTGTAGCCGGAGATTTGTTATGGCTAGTTTGTTTTCATTGTAAAATCATACCTTGAAAACGAGGAGGTTGAGGTCATAAGTTTAGCATGCCAGTCAGTTGATGCTCTTAGACCCCATCCATAAAGAAGTCATCTTCCCATATTTCTCGTGTACAGAGATTCTTATTCAGTATTTCTTGAAAAAGGAACAGAGGCGATAAACGAATGAGGAAGAACACTAGAATGGCGTTCTAAAATTTTCTCTTGGACTTAGATTACTTTTGTGTTTGAGTACATTTGCGTAGCAGTTTACACTTTTTAACGTGCTTCAACCCTTCCATAAATTAGAGCAAGACAACTTTAATTAATCTGCCAGGTATATATTGAAGAGATATTTTGTGCGGTGTATTTACTCGATATGCAAAAGACTCTATCATGCGGTGTGATACTGTTTAAGTGTGTCAACGTTCCTGAATGCTAAGAACGTCTTCTAACTAAATTAAACTTTCCTACATGGTCGTGCAAAGGTAAAAATGCACATTGCCACGAGAGGATGCAGTGCTCTTCCGTTTTGACTCGATATCATGTATGGTTTTAAAAATGGTTAATTAAAACGTATTAGTTTTCCGAGTCGTGCAAAAGAATATTTTCCCGTGAAAGCCATTGCCGATAATTCGAAGTGTTTTTTTTTCTTAACCTAGGTTAAAGTATAGGAAAGAAGAAAAGGAGAAAGTGTTGTCTTTAAACTTGACGTTAATTAGCCCCGATTACAGTAATGCGGTTTTGTTTTGAATTCTTGTACGTTCTGCCCTAATAAGATCATGTTTTTGAACACGTTTAAATTCGACAATGCTCTGCTAAAACCTCTCTCCAAAAGTGTCAACCTGGAAACTGCGGGTTGCGTCTCACGTCACTTTCATTATAACAGTCGCTAGTTAGTTTTTAAAGAAATCAGCAGAAATTTGATGACTATGGGCGTAGCCCGCTTTTCGACTATTTGTAGGCCTGGCTGACTTTCATTTCCACATATCCTAAAAATTGCACGCATGACTAGTACGCACTGACTTCACCAACACTTTGAACTCTGAAGCTTTTTAACTCACCCCAAGAACGCGTAATTTATTTGATGTGCTGGTCGCCATTATCTCTCCTGTGTTGAGCTTCGTTACCACACGTGTTGGAGTCATCATTGTACCCTCCAGTGCCAAACCCGATTCTGGAGTCACAAGAGCTACAGACATTTTGATTGTTGGCAACGATACCGATTCCCGCTTTGGAGTGGTTGCCATCGGTGCATAGTACGTTGAATCCTTCCTTGTTACAGTAGGGCTGTAACGAGGCCCGAGACTGATATTCAGCCCAATTAGTTAAACCCTTTGTTCTAATGCCAGTGGTACCGTTTCTGTTCCCTGGGGTACCACACCCGGGGTGAAATTGGAGGGTAGGGGAGGGAGGGGCAGTAACGAACGCGAAGGGGAAAAAGGAGAGTTGCTTTTATCTCTCCAGTCCGCTCTCCCTTTTCCCTTTTTCGCGATGCCCCCTTCCTGTCCTAGAGGCCAGAAGTATTCGGTCAAATCAGCACTGTGTAAATTGATTTTATTTTTGTTTTGCAATGAATTCAACGCATTGTAATTAAGGATGTTGATATCCACTCATGAGAACAAATTTAAAATCAGTTCATGTTATATTATACCACCTCCATAACCACGTCGTTTTTACTTTTTCTTGTATCCGGAGATTTTTTAGAGTTAATTTGTTTTTATTGCAAAATTACACCGTGGAAACAAGAAAGTGTAGGACGTAGGTTAACCACGCAAGTCACGAATTATGAAATAAGTTCATGCTGTTAGACACTATACACAAAGAAGTCATCTTCCCATTTTTATCGTGTACAAAGATTCTCATTAATTAAAAAAAAAGATCGTAAATCAATTTTCACAATGGTCCTCAAGCACGTTTGCTAAGTCTCTTCGTCTTATATTCCTTCTATTTATATCTGCACGAGATAATTTAGACCACAAATATGGACCCTGATATCTCAGATTGAAATCTCAGTATCTTAAAGTCGTTTTCATTACGAAGCTGATAACTGGTTTCATTTTCTTCGAAAATATTCACTACATAACTAGACAACAGTTTGTGTTTCACTTCATTTATCATTATAGCTATATCTTGAAGCCTGTGGTTGTATAGAGTACTTAGTCCCGGTTTCTTGAGGAGTTCTTCATATGTGGCAGTTTTTCCCCTAAATACAATGCTAAGGACACGCTCTTGTGAATCCTTTCGAGTTTTCTTCTGTCCGATTTTGAACAGAACTTCCGTACTGTATGACAGTACGTTAAGTTAGGTAAAATTGCATATTTATACGAGTGAAGTTTAGTTTCTGATATTCAGCCCAATTTTGCACAGAAGTGCCGTACTATATGACAGTACGTTAAATTAGGTAAAATTGCATATTTATACAAATGAAGTTTAGTTTCTGTAGAAATCATATCCTCTAAAGGTGACAGGACTCCAATCTTCTTACTTGTGTTTATACAGATCTCTTGTATATGTGACCTAAACAAATGATTGTAAAAAAAGATAAATTCGTAATACATTTTGGTACAGTGTACTTGCGGTCACATAAGCTCATCGAGAAAATTGCTTAGTTTCGGCCACTAAGGAAATGTAGCTCTTTAAGAGAATGGTAGCAGAGATTATTGGAATTTAACTAGATTTTCGAGCTTAAAGAGCCATAAGTTGTTATGCTCCTTTTTAGATTTGGCTTATGCTCCTCTTACTTTTCCTGCAAGTCTAAGTTAAAGGAAAACGAATTTGCAGCTGTAAAACAATGTACAATTTTTTTTTTTTTTTTTTTTTTCTTTCTTTTTTTGTGTGAAAAGTATCGTGAAAACCGGTTGCGGTGCCTATTACCTGTGGTAACAGTCGCTTTAATTAATTTACGAAAAACTCCGTTCCTTGGTCGGTTTCCTGATTCAGTCAGTTTGGACCTGAGAAGATACTTGTGTGATGGAAATGATTCAACAAAAGCACATTCATTAAGAAACTGAGTTTCTTGTCTTGTCAATGAAACATTTTATTTCATCTCAGTCTCACAACTCCCTTATTTAAGATTTACTTTTAAACCACTTACAATCAAAAATCAACAGTTTCTTAGTTACATTTTAAGGCCGTTTGAGGGTTGTTTCTCGGCATGACAGCTCTTATTGGACCAATATGTATCCCATCGCTTTAATGTGCTGGTCGCCATTATCTCCCTGGGCTATAGCTTCATTGCCACACGTGTTAGAGTCATCGTGGTTGCCTCCAGTGCCAAACCCGATTCTGGAGTCAGCGCTTCCACAATCATTTTCGTTGTTTCCAACGATACCAATCCTCGCCTTAGAGAAGATGGTATTTATGGATAGTACGTTGAATCCCTCCCCGTTACAATTGAGTTGCAAAGAGGCCCGAGAGCCGATGAGCTTCTTCCACGCGTTACGGCCCAGTGAAGTAGCTCGGTATTTGCCATCTGCGATCAGTGAATACAGGGATCTGGCTTGATGGTTGATGACAACAGACTTGAACTGCTGACCGATCTTCATTCCAAGACAGATCTTGTTAAACGGTGTGTTCCAATAAGTCGGTAACTTGGTCTCGTGAGTGTCCAACCCAGTCTTCCCTCCTGGAAGGTTGAAGTCGACTTTGTTGCTCCACAGTTTAGAATTGTAGTGAAAGGTTTTCTGAGAACACAAAAAAAACAACAATGAACTCTGTAAGTTCTAATTATATCAATCTCATATTATCCTATTCATACTTTGTCTGTTACTTCTTACAGTGAGTTGATACCTCATCGATCCAACAATTTTTAAACCTAACCTCACCAGATTTCCTTTCTTACCCCTTTACTTTGACTCTGGACTTGCACATTAATTTTGTCTTTAGAATGGAAATTAGGTGATAACAAACCAAGCTAGATGTGAAAACATTGATCTTTAAACACCTTTGAGCCATCGATCTTCATGACCAGCGTCCATCCACCTCCTCCGCATGCATCAAGCCCTTGACTGGTCATGTGACAATATACGGGAGTATTTCTAGATCCAATATCCAGCAGGTACGCTTTGTTTGCTTTGGACCTGGTGAAACGTACAATTTCATTGGCAAACTCAAATCAAGATATTTGGCCATTTTTATCGAGAGGAAGAATTTTATTACATATAAATCGCTAGGATAATTTGAAACGCTGTCTCAAAGTCCAACACGGTCCTTGGATAATCTAAGAATAACAAATAACGTCGTCATCGCTAAATTCGACGCTCCATACAAGTACTGTAAATTTTCTTCTTTTCCAACCATCAGTTTTTCGTTCAGTCTGTTACTTTAATAGTACCAATCCCAGATCGGGGTTTGTTTCTTGATCTGTTGCTAACGTACACCATCTCCTTATGTTCAATTTTTGCTGCATTGTGGTAGTTTCCTATGTCTGCGAAATTTCTTTATACTAAACCAGTGGTCGCTTTATTCATTTGTTACTTTCAACCTTTGTTTCCTTCGTACTATTTACCTTTTCAAATTTGTACGTCACTGATTAAAAAATATTTGCGATTGTGTTTACTTTAAATCAGTTGAAAGAGTTAATACAAAACTTCCTTCCTTTTCTCCCTGTTTTCTTGGGAACTTCGTCATATTCAGAGTTTGGATAGGTGTGCGGAATACCTGATATATTGCCAGGAGTTTTACGTAAGTTGGGTATTTTGCGTTTGTCAATGGAGATATGTGTAAATTAACGGCGTTAGAATGATGTATCTTTTATACTTACATGTTTTTTTCATAAATCTCTTTGCACGTTGAAGCTGTTGCTGGCGAATTAGAAGACAGTGTTAGCCATATCAAGATAACCTACGGGGAACTTCAAAATTCTTACAAAGGCTATTTATTAACACGAATATTTAACGTCAAATAACATCTCGCGGAGTAAAATTTTACTTCGTAGTTTTATTTCATTCTTCGCTTTCAATATCAACATAGCTTTGCTTGCGCTCTGTCAAACAGCTTTAAAAAAGTAAACAAACAAAAACAAAAGGGAAGGAAAGAAACTAAGAAAGGAAAAGCTACGAAACTTTTCGAAACTTACTTTTGTAGTATCTTTCTGTTCATTCTTCAGCTTGTAGTCCAGCAAGAAACTGTTTTTATCTGTTTCTAAATGGAGGATATTTTTTAAAAGCAATAATCTTACTTGGATTAGGAGAAGTTTGTAGCAGTTTAATTATCTGATCCAGCTTTTCATCGAGTTTCTTGATAGCGTCGTTAGTTCCAACGTCCGTTCCAATGTACTGATTGCACACAACCGTTTCACCGTCTGTTTGGGCGTGAACGTTATTCGTGCTGTTTGTAATTTTAGCACCTTTTGCTTGGTATGCTACGAGAAACAGGAACAACGCCGCAAAAAGCCAATGCTTCATTGTGGAAGCCAAATGAGACTGGATAAATACAATATTTCTAGGAGGTTTCTCTGTTTATTGACCTCTGAACTCTTGACTTGTGTTGGAGACCAGAACCAGTGGTCGATATTAACGGCAGCCTGTTTGGTTAATAAAAGTGTGTCCAAGTAACCAGACTTGGTTAGTAAAAATTTTCCTTAAAATAACTATCAAAAATGTTTTTCGAAGCAAATATTTGTCTTTACGAAAGGCTGGGGTATTTCTTTTTTATGAAATTATTTTTTCTCAAGCAATTTGTTGTTTTAAATTTTTTGATTACGTAAAGTACTTTCCAACCGTTAAGCTACAGTACAATGGGGAACTTGTTTTGGACCATTGCTGCAAAACGAGTTGAAAAGTGATGTTGCGTGCGCACGTTGCGAAAAGTTGTTGCAAAAAGTAGAACTACTCTTTTCATTCTGAAACAACTTTTCGCAACCTGCAACAACCTGATTTGTTACAAGAGTGGTTTGACTCTCGTGTGGTTATACGTGCAACATCGATTTAAACTCGGTTTCAGAGCAGCAATGGTGCAAATAAACAAGTTTCTCGTTTTGCTGCCCCTTTTTACCGTAGCTTTACGGTTGCTTGATTTATTTGTTATTTTAGCCTCGTTCCTCTCCGTTTTTGAAGGCAATATTTATTTTCTTGGTTAGTCATACAAATTAGTTGCATACTCGAAACATCTCTACGTTTTTCAATTGATTTGTAAAACGTAGAATGCCTTGAAACCAAATATCTTGTATGACTTTTTGTGTGATTTTATTTTACTATATGTATATACTACTATATGTATGTCAATACTTGTTGCAATAAGAAAGTTATTAAAATAAAAAAAAAATTAAAAAACAAAGAAAAAAAACAAAGCTTTACGGTTCGAAGGAACAAGAAAACGTCGAAAAACACGCGACTTTACGGTAATCAGGCGTATCAGACAGTTTCCAACGCTGCTTTGTAAGACTCCTGAAGGCGTTATAGAGAAAGACGTTAACAAGGAGGTCAAGCATTCCGCAAAGATTTGAAAAAGGTGTTCGTCTGGTTACAATTCCTCTGTGCAATGAGTGTGGGGAATTTATACCATAGCAGACAAAGGCTATAATTGTGAAATTACGTTTCCTTTTGTATTGTAAGTCTAAGCCAAGAAATCTTGATTTATAAACTCTATGATATGGTCAGCGAAATTTATGTGTACTATCCCAAACGGTTAGTTACCTAAAAAAGTCTGAAAATGACATTTTCAGACAATTGACAATTTTGTATCTATTAAGTAAATAGATACAATTGTAATGACTTGTCAAATATGTTAGCATTGTCACTAAAGAAATCCAATGTACTACCGAGTAAATCCTGATAAAAATAAGAAGTTGTGGTAAAATAATTTCATACTCCCTGGAAGTAGCTCTTAGAGATTTAAAGATTTTGGTGAAAGTACACACACTTCATCGTTTACAGTATTCTGACGGCCATCAGATTGTTGTTTACAGAGCCTTCTGTTCTTTATTAAAGTCCCACCATTGTAGACTTGATTAACAATAGGCCATTTGCTTGAAGTCAAATTGTCGTTTTTATAATTTAGGCGATTGTATTGAAACTTTATTGAGTTACTAATCCAAATATGAAGATAAATAACGAACTGAATTGTGGTTTCTGTGTACCTATTTCCGGCCACGAAATTATAGTGAAGGCGAGTTTTCTAAATGGCTGAACGTATGTATACTGGAGATGAATTTTCCGTCTAGACGAATTATCCTTCTGACCATAGTTAATTGAGTGGAATGGTTATGAAACCCGTCAGACTCCTTTGTTATATGTTTTTGTGGACCTGAAAGTGCACAACGTTCAAAAGAATTCCTAACATTTTGATTGTATTGACCAATAAAAACGTTGCATTAATTTATTCCGTAACAATTTGCCAACAGAAAACGAAGGATTGTGCACTTTCAGGGTGCTTCCAACATAAACTGCAGCACTGTTGTTTTTATCGTTGATGTTTGCCGCTTTTCATAACCAGTCTCCTCTAATAACTATGTTCTTACGAGAGATTCGTTTAAGTATAAATCCGTAAGACGAATTTAGACGAATTCTCGAGGAAATTTATCCCAAAAGGCTGGGCATGAAATATAAACAAAATGGCTGCCTTCATAGCTCTTTCGATCAATAGCTAAGATAGAGAAAAATGACAGTATTTCAGTTTAACAGTGTGTTAACAGCGTTTCAGCGTAATAGTATTTTAACTAAGTCTTTACTTCAGTGAAAACACAATAGTTCAATAACTTTGCCAGAAGTTCAATAATCACACATTTGTTGGATGACCTTTCACACAGCTAGCTTTGTTTTAAACCGGGGAAATAGATACTGGCTCTTGATACGGCGGCGAACTCTTCGTTTTCCGTCTAGATATAAATTCAAAGACGGATTATCAACCTGAGACGTCTGACAAACGAATCAAGAGAAGACGAATTTTGGCCCAATATTTATCAAAACACCGGATTTATATCTACACGAATTATTCGTCCGAGAAGGATAACTTGTCTCAGGCGGATAATTCGTCTGAAGTATAAATTTGGCTTATGTTTATAGGAATGTGTACAGAGTTTACGGAACTCATTTACGAAAATTTTAAGGTTGTAAACCTAACACGTCTTTATTTGTTGTGTTCCTTTTTATATTTGGTCCTAGTTTCTTGCTTGTTGTGGTTTTTAGTGATCTTTCTGTATGAGGTATGGTTAACTATAACGTTACGAAAAACGCTTTTTCCGCTGGTGGGCCAAATTTTAACTTTTTTCTATAGAACTGGTCTTTTGTTCTTTTCTTTTTAATTATTTTACGAAGTAAGCAAAATTTCAAGGTTGATGAAAATCAACTCAGTTTCTCGCCTTTTACTAGCCTGAATTTCAGCCGTTTCGTCAAGTCGCAAACTCCCGGGAGAGATGTTTGCGACTCGAGGAGACGTCTGAAATTCAAGCTAGTTTTTTTACATGGCTCGAGCAGTTTTCATAACCTTCGTTCCGCGCTTGTTATCCGGATATAGTTTTTGACCTGAGACGATACTAATGTAATGATAATGATACAGAGAAGTACATTCAGTCATCAAGGAAGCAGAGTTTCTGGCCTTTTAATGCAAAATTTTATTTCACCTTATTTTTACAAATTCCTTATTTAACCCCTTTTAAAAATAATTAACAGTTTCTTAGCTGCATTTTACGGCCGCTTGAAGGCTGTTTCTGCGTATTACAGCTCTTACTGGACCAAAATATATCCCATCGCTTTGATGTGCTGGTCGCCATTATCTCCTTTATATAGAGCTTCGTTACCACACGTGTTGGAGTCATCCTGCTTCCCTCCGGTGCCAAAACCGATACGGGAGTCACAGTAGATGCAGTCGTTCTCGTTGTTTCCAAGGATACCAATTCTTGCTTTAGACCAGGCACTCTGGATACCAACTACGTTGAATCCTTCCTTGTTACAGTTGGGTTGTAAAGAGGCCCGAGACCCAATGATCTTCTTCCACGTGTTACGGCCCAGTGAAGTAGCTCGGTATTTGCCATCTGCGATCAGTGAATACAGGGATCTGGCTTGATGGTTGATGACAACAGACTTGAACTGCTGACCTATCTTCATTCCAAGACAGATCTTGTTGAACGGTGTGTTCCAATAAGTGGGTAACTTGGTCTCGTGAGTGTCCAACCCAGTCTTCCCTCCTGGAAGGTTGAAGTCGACTTTGTTGCTCCATAGTTTAGAATTGTAGTGAAATGTTTTCTGGAAAAAAAAAATCAGTTAACTCATTCATAAAGAGTACTATCACTTTGCTGTTTTATCTGTTTGAGAAATATGATACAGTCTTGCCTCGGTTTTCACTGATCTTGTTGCGAAGTCCTCACATATTATTCTCTTCATACTTTGTCTGTTACTACTTAGAGTGAATTAAGATAAAACTTTTCAAACCTAAACGTAATAGATTCCCTTTCTTTCATTTGACGTGGACTAGTGATTTACATTGTAAGTTTATCTTTATATTGGGAATTAGGTGATGACAAACGTGGAAACTGGTGAGAACATTTAACTTAATACCTTTTTGCCATCGATCTTCATGACCAGCGTCCATCCACCTCCTCCGCATGTATCAAGCCCATGCTTGGTCATGTGACAGTATACGGGAATCTTTGCAGATCCAACATCAAGCAAATACGCTTTATTTTCACTGGACCTGTTAAAACATACCACTTTATTGATTACTCCCAGTTTGTTTGTTTGTTTCTGTTAAAGTTAGGACGCCATGGAAAATCAGAATTCTCGTTAAAGAAATCTGTCTTATCAGATAAGCAATGTTTGGTCGAAATTGAATAATCTTATAAAAATATCGAGTAGTGTTGTTATTACTGACTTTGTCGATAAGAAGGACTCTTCTTTACCACCATATATATCATATATATCATTACTGTTCAATCCTCTCAAGTTATTGATTCATTAACTATCCTTCCAGCTTGAGTGTTTAGTAAATTGTCTTAGTTTTCTATTTAATTTTGATTCTTTTTAATTCTTATTATTTTCTTACCATTTTCTTATCGGTATTTTAGTTTATTTGTAATCATTAGGACACCAATTATCTCTTTTTATTTTCAAAAATACTGAAGAATATTCAGAAGCAGTTCTCTGTGTTTTCCGTTGGTGGCCTTAAAAGCCAGTCTTTTTTTAAGATCAAATCTAAATCAGTTCAAGGTTTAGTGTTTTAAGGGCTTTTAGCGCTGCAATATTTGCCTACTTCAAATGAAACCCACAATAACAATTTTCCATAGAATTTAAGCATTCTTTAGATTGCCTTTACCTTAGTTACATAAATTTACCGATACGAACATTTATTCTGGAACCAATTCGTTTTTTTTGGAAGTCTTTGTTATAACTGTTTGTAGACGTATATACTTACAAGTTCTTGGTGTAGATTTCCTTGCACGTTGAGGCTGTGGGACCAAAAATAAAAGGATATGAAGCGTGTTATTTGTAAAAAGAAGACTTTCCACACCATTCTGTAAGAAACACTTTGAGATATGAGATATTTTTTCATGGTTTGTATTCAGGTTAATCACTCCTGAAGTCTCGAACTATTTCATAATGAATTCATCACAAAACGCTGTTCAAAGAATTTCTTACCGGTATTAGGAGAAGGCTGTAGCATTTCAATTATCTGATCCAGTTTTTTGTCGATTTTCTTGATTGCTTGGTTTGTTTCAGCGTTATGTCCGTTGTACTGGTTGCAGACAAATGATTTGCCATCGGTACTTTTCGTTCCATTCGTTGCGTTTGCCGTGAGCAACAGAGGAAAAGCTAAAATGAACCAAAATCTCATGTTTCGGTTAATGTTTGCTGTATTGAAGCGTTTTTTATCGAGCAAACTACAATATTCTGTAATGTTCCTTGAACCGGAATACTTGTACTCCACAATGCTGAGTCTCTTTTTTTAGCTTGGTTTTGACTCGTATTAAAGACAAGAAAATTTTCCAGTCGAAATATTAACTAATTAATTGACGGTTCATCACATCCGGTTAAACACGGCGATGAAATCTAAACAATAAGCGCTAGCAGTTTGAACGCTAAATTTGTAGTCATGTTCAATGAAAGCTCTCAAATTCTTTGGGAGTAACTTATAAGAGTAGACGAAAATTGTTCTTGAAGGCACACTCCGTGCTTCTGTATAATTTGTCTGTAGCAGACGGCTGTTTATAGCCGTGCCTCAGTTTCTTTACGTATAAAGACAAAGCAGGAAATGAATGTAAATGACTTAACGCATTGGAAATACGGAAGTTAAGGGTCTCGACCGTTTTCAGCTTAAGTCGTGAATTATTTTCAAATTATTCCTTCTTTTAGGCAAGTTTTTTTTAACTTCGTTATGTTTTTTGTTGTAAGTAAGAGTTTCTCCAATGAATTTATGGCTTGTTATTTAATCACTACATGGATGACTGGCTAAGGATACATCAGACATTTGTGTGCGGGAGCAGAGTAGGGAGGGGAGGGTAAGGAGAAACTCTTCTTTTCCCCCGAACCCCGGTCTCTCCAAGAGATTGCTCGCGTGACCTCTGGAGCCAGAATGACCACGAAAGTGATCGATTCAATGTTGCGTTACTCTCTGTGGGAAGTACAGGGTGTTTTCGTACGTTTTTAATCGTTTTAAAAAAGCGTGAATAGATTTGCGGAGAAATGTTTCTCCTGATATTCGTTTATGTGGAGGAAAGAGATGCGACTAAGTAACCTATGTGTTTCTTATTTATCCATTTAATGTAATCTTTTTTCTGATATTATCATAAATACGCTTTTATTTTTTATGGCTCTCTGAAATGCAGTTGTTTTGCTGATAATGG